TTTGATCTAGGTGTCCTTTGAGGTGCTTTTGACTTTTTTTTCTCATCCTTCGCTAACCGAATATCTCGAAGCTGGACCAAGGCTGCCCCATCAAGTACCCGAGCTACTGATAGTTGCCGCTTATCTGTAGTGTTGAAAATCGTCTGTGTACCTTGAAGCTTGCGGTTCGATTCCCTATAAAGTTCCTTTTCCGCAATTTCCTGTTCAAGCTGATGGCCCAATTCTCGAAGTAAGCCTCCAACCTGATTACAAGCTTTCTTGTCCGCTTTAGAATCCAAGCTAAGTAATGCCATACTCTTAAGAATAGTGTGACCGGATTTTACCCGATTGCGGATGTCGTAGGCCGTTCGAGGTTGACATACTGTATCAAGTGTATCGCGATGTTTTGTGAGCGGTGGTGCGAGTTTGCCTAATATTCGACGTGGGTTTAATGGCCATATCCCGGTTGCTGTGAAGGCTGCTCGAATGCTCGTAGACTTCATCGTATGATCGCGAGCTTCGGTAAGAAATGGAATGAAGGCCGCTTTTTTAATTCCTTCCCTGTCTTGACCTGAACGAAGATACTTGTCTACAGCAAGACCGTAATAGTGCTGGTAGGGGCCGAACAGTCCTACATCTAGAGGCTGTAATAGATGTGTAGAATGGGATGGCAAGCAGAGCAGGAAAATACTATGCTCAATACAGAATTGAACAAACTCAAACGTAATATGTGATCCATGACCATCAAAAATAAGGAGCCGGGGTAACCCTATGCCAGCAATCTTTGCTGACTGAGGTTCAAAAAGATCAATCAACCACTTCAAAGCAAGCTGATCATCAGTCCATCCTTTTGGTGAGTAACTGAATTGATAGTCTTGCTCCCTATCTGTCAGATTCCGATACCATCCAAGATAGTGACCTGCCCCCTTATTGATGATAAAAGGAGCAAGAGTGTTGCCACATGCGGAAATGGTCTCAATGACAGTCACTAGCTCCCGCTTTCCGTCATGGGTAACATGAGGATTCCAACGTCCACGCCGGCATAAAACCTTGGCCCGAGCTACTAGACCCATCAGGAAGCCCTTCTCATCCATATTAAAGATCTGTCGTGCTTGCAAGCTATTCTGCCGTATTATGCGTCCCAGTTTGGTAAAATAATCTTGCAGTAGTATGGGGTCTTTCGCATGCGATCTCTGTCTTTCTAGTCGAGTACTAAGTTTGGCTGCTAATTCTGGATTGCATGTAAGGAATCGACGTATCCAGTTTTTACCTAAAGGTAACGGTTGACATCCAACAGCTATTCTCTTTGTCTCTAGGTAGATAGCCATATCTCTGACCATATCAAGCCTGGGTGGGAAGCCTCTGTCATCCTAATCCTGACACCAATTTACGATTGCCTTCTCTTCAGCTACCGTGATACGCTGCTGGTCTTGGTGTGCTTCAACTCGACTTGAATGGGTTCCCGCGATTCGCCGGTAAAGTGTTCGCTTATCAATACAATATTCCTCTGCTGCTTCTGCTACTGATACTGGGTCTGTTGCTCTTTTGACTGCCTTTATTGCTCGCTGAAGCTGTTCTTCATATTCGGATGCTTTCCTGGGATTGACTTTACCCATCCTGTGTTGTTGTTCGTTGTTACCACAATAACTGCGATCAAAAGTGGGGATTATGATATGGGCGATTGATGTCTCAGAGCACGTCAGCCCTAGTGTCACATCCCAGTCGTGTGTCACATCACCGTGGAATACGTTATTGGCTACTTAAAGACTTGTGAATACCTGGCAGGGAACCCACAAAGGCCCAACCGGCAGATAATTGTAGCAACTGCTACAAGTACAGATGTTTATATTGTAGGATGAAGCTTGTCACCCAGTGTTCGCGCGCCGCTATTATTCGTAGACTACCGTATCGTACAAGTATGATACCCGAAAACCCTGTTGACCACCGCATTTCAAGCCTTACCTGTATGATACCGTACTACCGGTAGTACAGGTACTGTTCTGTTGCCTTGACAACCATCACTGTGCGGCTCCGCCACACCGCATGACCTACGATACGGTACAGCACCACATCAAAACAAATAGGACTTGCACCCACGGAAGGCCCGGTTATGATAGACATCACTTCCACCTCCCACCCCCTCTTGATCCTCCACTCGCTACTTTCCACATCGCCTTTTATTTAACACATCATCGCGCATCCACCGCGGCAGTGCTCTTGGTTGGCGCAACTCAGCTGTGGCTTGTTTGTGTGTGTGTGTCTGTGTTTTTATCACTCCCTTGCACCCGCATATAAGCTTTGAGCACCCCCCTGAACTCTTTGTTCGGTCTGAAAATCTCTGCTTCAATCACAAAAAAAAATACAAGTTGTTCCAGTCATCTTTTAATTCTTCGTCATGCCTCGTTTAAGGTCTATGGAGGCGAGTGCTACCTCGCCAGTTACTCCTAAGGTGAATATTCTTGCTCTGCTGGCCTGGTGACGCTAATGGATTGATTGGTTATAGTCGGCACTTGATCGAATTGCAGAAGCTTCTTCAAAACTCAATTCCAATGCTACCCCCGCTACAACTCTTGACTACCCATCCTTAGCAAAACTCGAGTACCCTTCTTTAGACAAAGTCCGGTATCCGGAGATCCCCCTGACTACTCCGAAAGTGAATAGTCGTATTCCGACATATGCCGCGACAACCGGGAAGAAACTTGGTAACTTCTCCGAAAAGCTTAAGGACGAAGCCACCACCACCACCCCTGTTAAGCCTGCGCAGAAACTTAAGCTCCCTAGTACCGGATTTGAGTTCCGTGTGATTAAGACTGGGGAGAAGAAGGTTGAGGAATTAGTCCCTCCGGTTTCCCCGGCGACTGCGGCCGTGGTTGCTACACCCGCCAGACCAATTGCGAAGAAGAAGAAGAGTAGACGTTTTTCCAGCATTCACAGACGTCAGTTTGAGAAGATGGAGAGTATCACTACGCATTACGCTGCTAAGCGCACTCCGAATCAGCCGGTCACAATTGAGAAGATGCCGCGCGGAGTGAAGCGGACAAAGTCTCGTGCGGAGTTGGGCGATCGCGGACCACCGAGCTCGCCGAGTCCTGTTAAGATGCTTGTTGAAGGTCCTAGGAATGCTGAAGGGGATGGTGGCAGCCCTATGAAGAGGACTAAGATATCCGCTGTCAGTGAAGAGAAGACCACCTTGCCCAGCAAACCGAGTGGGATTCCGAGACCGGGCATGACCCCGATCAAGGGATTCAGGAGACGCCCTGCGACTGTTGCAAAGATTTCCATGGGTGGAAGATTGAACCTTACGCCTGCCACTAGACTTGCTAGTCTTGTTCACGCCGGCACTACTCCTTCGAAGATCCCCAGTGCTGTAACTACTCCAGTTGTAGAAGATACAGATTCGGCACCTAGCACCGCCGCCGCACCACCAAACCGGAACATCAAACTCCCAAGCACTGATACCTCGAAGAAAGCAGCCAACCCCCTCGCCCCGCCGGAGACGGATGGTTTCACCTTCAGAAGCAATGGCGCGGGAATTAACTACAAACGTCTCAGTGACATGCACTCCTTTAATTGTAACCTCAACAAAGACGTCCCAACGGCCCCAACCCCACTATTGACTCCCATGAAGATGAGTGCAGAAGACCCATTTGTGGGAATGGCCCGCAGAGCAGCTATGGAATGGACTCCTGTCGCTGCTGCGCCCGTTGAGAAACGTAAAGCTCCCCACAGCGACGACGATGACGACGGTAACGGCGCCGGGGATGGAGAAGCTGTGGATACGGTACATGAAGGTGGCGCAAGGAAGAGGTTGAAATTTGCCCCTGTTGAGGAACCTACCGCAAAGGCTACGGAGGCTACGACGGTTGCTACGGGGACGCCTAGGAAGAAGTCACTCAAGAGCCGTGGGAAATCTATACTCCTGAGGAGCAGACTGAACGTGCTGGCTGCGCCCAAGAGGAGGGTTGAGAAGGGTACGGAGGGAAACGACGAGAAGGACAAGGATACCGGAAGGATAAGGTGGAAGTAGATTTGTAATTTCCTTTTCTTTTTCCCTTATCTCCCATGCTCCATAATGATGTTTCCCATCTTATCTCCTTTGTTCGGCGTGGTGGTTTGACTTGTTAACTTAGGTATTGGTTTTGAGAGAGAGCGGTTTGTGGTGTAGACTTCTCTTTTCCTTATGGTATTTTCCTTTTATTTTTTTCATACCTTATTTCCGATTACCGAATGTAGGCTTATGAGAAATTCGGCGTTTCTTCTCTTTTCCTTTATTACCAATGAGATGTTTGGTATTTATACGTGGCTCTATTTGATCCAGGATTGGCGTTTAATATATTCATACCAGGTGTTTTGTCTGGATCATTGGATGTCACTCGGACGGGGGAGTTGTAGTTGTTTGTGGGGTGGGATACAGAGATTGCTTTAAAGGTCCTAGCGTTGCATAGCTGGGCTGCTCTGAAGATACGCTTTGCTAGGAGCTGTGTGGATGTCCACTTATTCCGCATCGGCCAATATTCCCACCCCCACAGTACCCGTGGATAAACCGGACGACAGAATTTGTCGGTAGGTCCGCTACATTCGTTGCCGCTGCGCGCAGTTGCTCGAAGATAGCAGTCGCGCTACAAGGCAGTATTATACCAGTATTACCCTGCATCTTCCGAGCTATACACCAGCCAGAACCCACTCACTCTTCCCACCGGTCGTGGCCACTCTTGCTCAAGCAAGACCCGGCGCCAATCTTTGAAATCTATATTCCGGAGCACGAGTAACGCCACCTGGCGGGTAGAAGCTCTACACGATATAATATAATATAAGGAAGAACCAGAGTTCGCTGCGCAACAAACAACTCCAGTGGGAGTAACTTAATTGGGTGGGTGGACGACCACGCGAGCTCTGATCTGATCTGATCTGGGGATTTTGCTAACAGCCCGCAAGGGAGGGGAGGAAGGATGTCGTCGCCCTTGGGAGGGAACACGGCTTTGGGGCAATGAGATGTGCAGGCCAGTGTGCATTTTCCCACCTACCCACCTATGATACCCATCCACGGTACTACTACCCCACCCCCTCCTTCCGGAAAAGGGATGATGCACCGTTGCGGTTACTATGCCCTACATATTATACTTACGGTACCTACCCCCCCCCCTGCACAACAGGCTTTTTATCATCGGATGCACGCCCCAGAGTTGGTTTATATGCCTATTGCATGGTAACCCACTCACCTACTCGTACAAAGCGGAGGAAATTCTACGCTCCATCTGGGGAGAAATACCCTTTTCATCCCTTTTTAAAGCGCCCCGATGTCCTTGCGGTGGGCAGTGGGCGAGCGAGGGTGGGTGCCAAATGTTTTCTATCGGGGAGACGCTGGAGCACGGGGTGTGCTAGGTCTTGTTGTTGTTGTTGCCCGATTGATGCTAATGGTTTACTGGTGCTGGTAGTGCTTGCGCTGGTTCTGACAACTCCCGCTTTTGAGTGGCTGAACTAAGGGTAGGGAGAAGTGCCAATATACCTGCGACGTTGTAGGGTAAACTATACCAGTACTGTACGGCCATTGTGGAATACTAAAAGTTATTGAGTCAGATCTAGTTGATGCCACACAGCCCACTTGTTCCCTCGCCTGAACGAATGAACCTCAATCTGGCCTCAGGTTCGTGAAGGGAAGAACAGGGAACACAATTTCCAGAGCCCTGACACATATTTATCCAGTGGGTTCGTTCACCTTGCACCCCGGGAATGTGTGGAATTGTGAGCAAAAAGACAGGCTCGACCCCGGGATTGAACCGGGGACCTCTCGCATGCGAGCTCAGGGTTACCCTAAGCGAGAATCATACCACTAGACCAGCCGAGCCGTTGATATCGCTCTATTTTTCGCGCATATGATGCCCTTTCATAGGTGCTGCCGGAGGAGGACTGGTCCATTATTGGCCCTTTTTTCTCCCTAAGGTTTGTTCTCCTGCGACCTGTGGTGGGTGTTTTATCATTTGCGCATAGGTCGCCAACCGCTAGTGGTGCCATAGGGGTTTCGGAAATTGGAGGTGGGGAGGAAGTTTGTGTTACTGATAGGTGGGGGCTTCTCGGGCAGCGTTCTGGGGTTGAAGTTGGGAAGGGTCTCTTTTGGGGTAACTTCAGGAGTGGTTTTTTTTTTGTTTGTTTGTTTTCCCTCGGAATTTGTGTCGTGCTCTGCCTAAAAGGGGGATACCGGCAGCGCTTGCACTGAGCCGCACTAACGCAGTGGGAGGAGGGGAGGGGCGATAATTTATGCGCCGTTATTCACTAATGCATTCCGGCACGGCGAGAAAGGGTAGGGTTAGCGGAATCGCGTGCATGAGGAGAGAGAGAGAGAATAAAGGGAGGTGTTAGATGTGAACACACTTCGCCTGGGAATGGATGCAATGCATTCTGTTTGGGCAATTGGTGTATGGTACGTCGCGTGGTGAGGATTCTAGGATCGGGATTAGTAGAAAGTGGTTGTGTGGAAGTTTCTTTAAATCCCGGGGATCTCATTAGAATATCCGATCCGCGGCGCTTATGGGTTTTTCGCCCCTTTGGGACTCGTCCAAGCAGATACCATCCCCCAGGGAGGATATGATAACGAGCTGTTGGAACCCCCAGGGAGGGAGATGGAAAAGCGACTAAATTATGAGCCATTTCATGAGCAAAGACGGTGCTTGAAGAGTTATCTTCAGACCCTCTGGCTATCTCGTCAGGCACCGCCTAGGTTAAGAGTGCTACTGATCAATATTTTTCCTTTCTGGGCTTCACTTTATTGTTTCCCGGGGAAATAGGGAGGATCCAGGGAGGATCCGGGAAGTACAGCATCAGTTGCACCAGATGAAGCAGTGGAGAAAATGTCCGGCGGAGCGTCCTTTTTACATTTCCCGGTAGTTTTGGAGAGCTGTTTTCTTTGGATAAAGTTGAAACTGGCCCCTGGGGTGGTGCTACGAGGCCAAATTATTCCTAAAAATATTTGTGTCCTGCGCTAGAACCGAAGGCGTATACAGATTATGTGTTGGGAGTATGATGCTTCTTCAATGGGAAGGAGGAGTGATCGACCCGGAGCATCTGGACTGATGACTACATATCGGGGGTCCTCTATGGGTATAATATGGATATCTCTAGTGCATGAAGTAACATAAGTACATAGGGAAATAGCACACTTTACCGGCAATCTATAGATTCCTATACCTTTTTGCATTCCTCGGGCTTTACTTTCTCCCCGGTCTCTCGCTTCACACACATGACCAACATTATTTTTTGGTTGACGAAAATAGCCACATACAGCAACTCTTCCATCATCATAACCTAAGGGAATCCTTTCAACTAATGTCATTTACTTTATAGAGAGTGGTTTTAAAAGATAAACTTGTGCCGGCTGTTACAAAGTAGGAAGCATGCTAAATGTTACTCTGTATGTTTAATTGAAACTGCTTTATGCATTTCATGTTTAAAGTGATAAATGTCCTAATTATTAGGGGTACCAAAATATTGTGTTCTACACAATCCTTTTTCAACTAAATGTGCAAATTTCTAGTATGGTTGAATAGATAAGAGAGGGATACTCCTGGTGAGCTATAATTATGCTCATACGGGACCTCAGCCATGAGTTGTGGGTAGATTTATAAGATCTTAAAGAGATACAAGTATTACAAGTTGTATATTTATAATACTAGACCCATAACTTAGTAACTACAAGGCCAGGAAAAGTACATATTCATATGCTAGGTATCCCTAACCATCCTGCTTTTGCGTGAATCTTACAAATGGGTGATTGCACTTTTCAACGTATTGAGAGAGAGAGGTTTACTGTTGGGCCCTTTAATTCCGGAGAAAAAAAAATTATGTCACTCACTGCTACGAGCAGTTATTTCGGCTCGCCATAAATGTCAATCTGTGACGAGGGATGTATCATGAAGGAGTAGGAAGCCCAAAAAGGAGCCAATCACCAGATAACTGATCACTATGGTCAGGAGCGTCTGTAGGATGAGCACTTTGCGAAAAAGATATCGCTGTAGTTCAACCCCCGAAGGGGCCTCAACCACCCCTCCGATAGGAATTACGACTCTATCATGGAATAGAGTGGATGGTTTGGTGGTACTACTAACAGGAATGTCTCAAGCTTTCATGGTGGTATTTGGGTTTAGAAGTAGGTCCAGCCCCAGATGGGGGATAGACACTTTTCCTGATGATTTACTGCAAAAACTGGAATAGTTAAGAATCTTGCTAGGATGTTGGAGCTACCTCGTCTAGTAAGTGCTGAGGGGTGTATTTTTCTCTCTTCGTCTTTTTCTCAACCGGGGGTTGAGAGAGAATCTTCTCGTTGTGCCCCCCCCTTTGGTCCCAAGGGGAAAATTCTAGACGTCCTAGTATGATACCATTCCTTGTTATTTCTATTTTTATGGTGTCGTACCCGCAACAAGGGAATGTTTGGCAAGCTAACTAACATACTATTACTAAGGCACCAAGAAATATCCGCCCGTCCCGGGCACGGAGGCGGGCATTGAGGAAGAATTCCTGTGATACCAGGGCATCATAACTGCTCCGCACCGGCTTTTGGGGGTACGCACCTAAAGCCCTCCCCTAGCATGTCACTTGGAGCAGCACCTCGCATCCTGTAGATCTCGCTTTTGTTTGCATTTTGGTGCCCTTTCCTGCGTTTTTCACAAATAAATCATGTGTGTAAAATCTGCCATAGATGCGGAATGCGTCTTGCATATAGTGGTGCCAACTGCCCAGGACTTGCTTAACGATATCCCCTCTAACGCTCAAGTATAATACCTGCTGCTAGGGAAAACTATTTACTATGTTAGCTCTCCCTTCCAGTCACAGTATGTCACTCGTTTATTTTCCTCTGGATACGCGCTGGACATCTCGATTACCCAGCCAAAATTTGCCGCCCTTTATGTCACAACTTCCCCTACACCTTCCCCAAAATTGGAGATATTCTCTATTGGTTTGAGGTTGATAGGTTACCCTTTCGCCTAATAGAGTTATCCTTATTATGGAGGTCGTTAGCGGGCACTGGTATTGCTCCCTGGTCGTCTGTGAAGGGAGGGTCCCCAAGAGGCAAAAAAGAAACCTTATTTCACCGGGGCTTTTGTTCAGTGACTGTAAAAGTAGGGCTCGCACAGTGCTAGAGGATTATATCCCCAGCGGATATTCGTTTTACTACTTTTCCTTCCAATAAGAGCAGCTCCTTGAACAACCTTACGGATATATGATGGGCAGACGGGCAATCAACCAGGTTCTCCTGCTGGGAAGGCACCAGGCACTTTAAATCAGTTGGCACTCCTTTTTTACTGCGATTTACCATCTTGAATAGGGCAACGTTTGTGGAGATAACGAATTTGAGTGTAGTATTATGTAAGCAACCAAGCCTAATACCGGTATGCCATGAGTGGTCTCAGGTGCCCAACACTCACCAAGCTACGGTACCTTACTCGAGTACTTGGGCTCTATGTGACCAGCAGGGCATAACCCCACCGCCAAGCTCTCACAAAACACAGTCTTCCCACACACCGCACACCATCGGCACCGAACCGTGAGAATCATACCAAAATTTCCCCCACCAACCGACCATAGCAACAACGACAAACAACCACACAGCCAACGACAACCCGTCCATCAGTCCCGAGATCAGTAAAGATGGTTGGTTTTCATCCTCCCTTGAAAAAGACAATTTCGCCCGACCGAAAAATGCTGAACTTTCTCGATAATCATAGGTCCGATACGCCGCTGTTCCCAATAATCCTTCGAAATGTGCAAAGTCCCGCGGATCCTTCCTCCGCGTTTCCTTCAAGAACACTCGCGAGACCGCTCAGGCCATCAACCGCATGAAGCTTTCTCGTGCTATCGCTTACTTGGAGAACGTTAAGGGGCATAGGGAGGCCGTTCCCATGAGGAGATATGCTGGATCAACCGGGAGATGCGCTCAAGGTGGGTTTTTGGAAATATTTCATGGGCCTTTTTTACATTGAAGTTGGATTGGATTAGAGGGTTTGGAAGGCGGGATGGAGGTAGCCAATGGCGTGTTAGGCATAGGAGGACGTCATTGGAGGGATTCCGAGTTTTTGAATTTTACCAAGCCGATATTCCTGGATAGAATGGGGATTGAGTTTGGATGTATTCGGGCATTGAATATGTTAACGGTGATTTACGTAGGAAAACAATTCGGTGTTTCCCGCGCTCGTTGGCCCGAGAAGTCTGCTGAGTTCCTCCTTGGTCTTCTCCGCAACGCGGAGGCCAATGCCGACACCAAGGGTCTCGATAGCTCCAGCCTTGTCATATCCCACATTCAGGTCAACCAGGCCCCTAAGCAGCGCAGAAGGACATACCGTGCCCACGGCCGTGTACGTTACCAAGCTGTCTAGACAACAATCCCACCTAACTGACACCTCTAATAGATCAACCCCTACATGTCAAACCCCTGCCACATTGAGGTCATTGTCTCCGAGGCCGACGAAGCTGTCGCTAAGGCCCCAGAGAACAAGGTCGTTAAGCTGAACGCTAGGCAGAGGGGAAGGCTTTTAGCTGAGCAGAGACGTATCGCTGCTTAAGTTAGCCTAAAAAGTTATGAGGGGTTTCGGGGTAATAGAAAATAAATGAAAATAAATTCAAGGGTTTTCTATAACTCAGCCGAATCGGGCGGGGAGTTTCTCTTTTTCCATTTCTATCTTGTACTCAAAACGTTGTGGGGTCTTTTTTTTCCTATTTTCTTTCCCTCCTGCTCTTTGCCTTCCCCTTTCTGGCATATTTCTCCCTTCTTGGCTGGTTAAAATGGAAACCGTTTGGGGATCCGCTCCTTTGCGCAATCAAGGGGCGCAGATACTTAATGGATATGGCATGGTGGGATGTGTTGCGCTTGATTGTTAATCCCGATGTACAAATGAGCACTTGGGTGTCGTGATATGGTAGGGGATTTCTGCAATCGGAGCACTTTGCCAAGAAAATATTGCTCAATTCCAAGCCCCAATGGCTTTTCAATAGCCACTCTAGTGCTAGTGAGAATTGTAGCTCTGTTAGGTGATGGAGTAAGTGATTCTCTATATTAGTAGGGAGAAAATAGGGGTGCCTCAAGTTTCACTAAGTCCTCCTATTCCTACTACCGGTATACCCCACCATACTACCGGTACACCCCACCATACTGCCGGTATCCTGATCAACAGGAAGATAGTTGGCACGGGCAGCTTGGTTGGGACCCGGAAAAAGGCTTTGTGTGAGCTCAGTGAAATATGTTGAACTCGGGTCAGCAGGGCACAGCCTTGCACCATCAGTCAGCACTCTTAGTCGCCTACCCCGACTGCATCTAACGCAGGGCCTAAAGTCGTGATAGGAAACACAGTTTCTCAACTGGCTCAAGCCACTGAACGCTCCGATCTGAACCCCGGAATCCCCCTGGATTTATTTTCCCATTTCTTTCACGGCAGGCTGTACCAGCGTGTTGAGAACTTGAATGCATATATGGAGTATGTTTGAGTCCCAGGATAGACGTATGATAGTGGTCTAGTTTAACATGGTCAACATTCTTTCGTACTCAAATTTATGCCACCCGCGTACCTAGGTTCCCGTAATTCCTCAGCGACACATCCCCCGACGCGGCTTCGCTAGTTTATCGTTGATTGGACTTCTCCAAGAAAAAGTAGGATGCGGTGTTGGGCTACATGTGACGTACTGGATGATAGGGCATGAATTGTGCCTCGAGCTCGAAATGATATCTTGTGCCTCTTTTGCTACGAGTGCGGCCGATAGATATATTCGTCACGTGAGTCTGATAAGAAAATTTTGGTGCACCTTTTGGCTGCGATGTGTCCTTAGATAAGGCACGTGACGAATATATTTATCGGCCGCACTCGTATGGATGTGCCTTAACCAAGCATGAAGTCAGGCAACATGGACCCTTTCTAGGGCTTCATCGGTTCCTGGCCGGTTCAACGAGGTCACGTAGTAATTCTTGGCGGGCAATCCTGGCTCCATGCCCAGTGGTTCCAGCCGGATACAATTTAGCCCTGAATTGTATGCTACGGTACTCGTACACGGTTGGGGTACGGTACCGGTATTACGAGTACCTTCCGCAACGTCATACCGTACTGCTCCACACCATATCACACACACCATACCTCTCAACACCACCTCTCCTCTCCATCCCCAAGCTCTCCCCACTCCCTCCACCAAATATCCACCTTCAACCCTACCACTAGCAACACAAACATTCCTCAATTCCCCCCCGCCGAAATGGCCACCAAAAAGCCCAAACTCTCCACCCTCCTCCCCCCTATAATTATCGGTGGGGCCGTCTACAACACCCAAATGAACTTGGACCCCTCTACCCTCCCGGTCCGCAGCATCCTCACAAAGGCCTTTTCAATGGGCATATATTGCATCGATACATCACCCTACTATGGCCCCAGTGAGCTTCTCATGGGTGACGCCCTCACCCAGCCGGCAATAACCCAATCCTACCCTCGCAGCTCATACATAATCATGACCAAGGCTGGCCGTATCTCTGAGAGTGAATTCGACTACAGCCCCAACTGGATCCGGAAGAGCGTTCGTCGGAGCTGCGAGCGGTTACATACGGATTACCTGGATGTTGTGTTTTGCCATGACGTTGAGTTTGTAAGTCCAGATCAGGTGATGGGTGCTGTGAGGACGCTGTTTGAGTTGGTAGATGAGGGGAGGGTGCGGTACGTTGGAATCTCTGGGTATCCGCATAAACTCCTGGCGGAGCTGGCCGTGCGGGTAAGGCAGGAATTGGGAAGGCCTCTGGATGCAGTGCAGAGCTATTGTCACATGAACCTGCAGAACTCCACGCTTCTTCAATCCATTAATAAACTGAAGGGTGAAGGTGGTGTGGACACGGTCGTTAATTCCTCCCCGTTGGGCATGAAATTGCTTACAGGAGAATTCCCCGGGTCGTTCCACCCCGCACCGAAGGGGCTGAGGGATGCCTGTGCGAGGGCTGCTGAGCTTTGCAAAGCCCGGGGCGAAACACTGCCTAGGGTCGCGATGCGCTGGGTATTTGCGAATTGGAAGGGAGCAACTTTGACTGGGGTTAGTTATCTAGAGGAGTTGGAGGATAACATTGGGGCTTATATGGATGTCGCCGTTAGCACTGAGGAGGATAAGGAAGGGAAGGTTGTGTGGAAAGATGTGGATGAGCGGAAGGTGAAGAGGTGGGAACCGTTGTGGGAGGGCGTGCAGGAGATACTTGGGGAGTGGAAGGATTATAGCTGGGACAGTCCACCGAGGGATTGGATGCTTGGGAAGGGTCAGAGTATGCTGTAGTGGGTGTTAGCGCCGGATTAATTATGCGCCCCCAGAGCCTGCTTATTATCTCTTCCCCATGATTGGCTCCGGCCCTTTTTTTATTGTCACTGCGGGGTTTCTAGAGGCGCGCTATAAAGGGCCAAGAATGGGGATTACGGTTGGCTTAGAATGGAGCTATAGTTGTGAATACTGAGGCTTAGTTGCAGACGCACTCTAAAAGTTGAGATTTGAAGCTTTATTGGAGAATATGTGGTACCAGCACACGTCTGTAGCTTGAAGTACGTATTCTCCGTTGAATCGGCAACCACCATGAACACCTATCAGCCTTGCCACACTACCCACAGGATGTCCCACCGAAAACCCAAGTGCACCGTAATAGGGATATTCCACTGCTAGAACCTACAATAGCCTATCATACAAGGCAGAATCGGGTAATGCGACAGCCTCCATTCGGAACCCTCTTCACAGTTTACTTCTCGCAAATTGGAGACGGCGGTGCAAAGAGCCGCTATAGCTAGGAAGTTTTCCACGCTCGTGGGCCACACCAAGAATGTTTTTGCTGACGCTGCTGCCTACTCGAAAACCACAGCTTATCACTCACACGATCGGGCCCGCTCAGCTAATGGGCAGAAACTGTGCGCGGGTGGCTCAAAAGTTCGGACCTTCCGACCTCGGAATCTAAGATCTTCTAGAACACCAAATCGTTTGATTCCCCGTACCACCCCCCCACCTTCACCCCCACCTATCACTTCCCATCGGGCGTACCGGTATTTGACTTGCCCGGGATTCCTTTTACAGAGACCAGTCACCCCACCCAAGCCCCCCCTAGCTCCATAGAGCGAAGCCGGGGGAATTGGTGCCTCGGATGGCGGAGCTGATCGTTGTAAGGTCACCAGAGCGTTCGGCCGTGCGATTGTATCATACAAAAGAGAGATGCCCGTGCTTCTAGCCCCCATGTTTTTTCTCCAAGCTCAGCCAACAGAATCCAAGGACGGGCGCGCGGGGGCAGTTTCTCTTCAGGGCCGCGCTCCGGATGGACATACCGGCGGTATGATACTTGGATAGGCTTCACACCAATACTCGAGTAGCGTTCTACCGTAGTCTGGCCAAGAGCACGTGCACAAGGATGCAACGGGCCCACACTTTAGTCGCCGGAACTGTGATGGGTTGTTTGTCAAATTTACCGTACAGTAGTACTCTCTAGTCGCAGCAAGTACGGCACTCGTACAAGTATCCCACCCGCATATTCGAACTAGCGCCATTAGCCCCATATAACATTCCTCCACGAATCAAATCTTGCAACACATATCTACCTATCCCGGAATATCATTACATCTTACCTCTTCATGTTCAACGAGTGATTCCGTATGCTCCCCAATGTTCGCATCACAACCCCCGGCCCACATTGTTTCTCCACCATCCACCCGCCAATGGGGTCGCGAGGCAAAGATCAACCCGATGTCTTGGTTTCCACGGCTGTGCTTGGGTATGGCGAATATGATACCGTAAATCTTCCCTTCCCGGTGAGCTTACAAGTACTCGAGTACCGGTATAGTACAGTCTTCAACGGGAGCACGAGGAAACCCGGCTCGTGACGAACAGAGTGACAAGTTTTGCTTTGCTTTCTAGTTTTTTTCTTTTTCTTTTCTCCCTTCACCACTTACCCAGTACCGTTACCGTTACCGTCACCCTCATTCATCACCTTGCCCGTTTCCGCGCGTGACCCCCTGTTTGAAGGCCGCATCGGGCGACTACTATACCGGTAACCTTCCTCACTCAATAGCCCACAAGCACTGGATGGGGAGTTGAGCGAGCGCGGGTAACGATACCGTTCAGCGCTATCCTAACTACCGTATCATACTTACGTACCACACGGGTGCAGAATCATAAACACAAAGGGTAAACGGGAAATGCCGTGAGAAGCATAAGGAAGGGGGTGATATTGAGTACGAGTACCGTACGGTACTTGTACCGGTACTTTGAGTACGGCACTGGTGACTGACTGGTGGCTGGTACTTCCAATTTACTTGTAACGCTCGAGTACCGTATGATAAGAACCCGGGTCATGAAACCCCCTATCACACACAAGTTCCCGCCATTACTCGATCTGGTATGCCTACTATTTCCACGAGAAGTAGGATGCGCTAGTGGGCGTTATGATAGGTAGTTCCAACCAGCGGAAACGAGTGAATATTGACTCTTACAGTGCCGGACAAGGTTATGATAAGTTGGATGCACGATGCACCGCCACTCGCTCCGCTTGGCCATCTTTGTACGATATTACGATGCGGTAGTTACTTTTTGGTCCGGGTAATTCCGCCCCCCCACCTTCCCCCCCCCCCCCCACACCTAATTTTTTGTTGTTGGTCGTTAAGTTTTGTTTCTTCTCAGACCTCCCCTGATTCGATTGCATTCGGTACCTGGTACTCGTATTATACAGTACGAGGGCTGGCTTCCAAAAAAAGAGATGAGCAGAACATTATCCGGCACAAGTACTCGTACTTGTTGGCACATAACTAACTTACCGGAATCATTTCGACTTGAAAATTCCAAATTCGGAGTTTCTTGGAAAAAAAAATTCCTCCTCTCTTGGCGTGCATGGCCATTATTTGTATGGATGTGGGGAACAGTAATGTCCACGACATCCCACTCCCCCCCCCCCAACCGCTGATCCGGTGAAACGAATCTATTCAGTGCTTTACTTGCACCGAATCTTTCATCCGTCAGATCATACATGTGAGATAGTTCCCCTGGGGTTTTTACCCACCGCACCCTTGGGAACATTGCACGATACCGGTACAGTATATATCTACCGACGATATTTGTCGAGGAATCGTCAGGAGAGACACAATTCAGTGCACTACCAGTACAGTAGTCCTAGGCGCATCTTCCAATATGCTCTATGCGACAATGTTAAGAATCGAAATGCCAGCGTATCCAACAAACAATTCTTAACAAGTTGTGGGCACTGTACTCGAGTGCGGTACAGTACAGTACAGTACTGCCGGGTTTCTCAATTCTCCTTCCTCCCTCACAGTTTCCAGGTAGTTACGGTCTAACCCAGTCGGGGGAGAATGGAATGGAATGGACTAGCAACCGTTCAGACTCTTATGATAATTTACCTGCCATTTCTACCTCACCATACGGTATCTTGACACCAACATCGTGCCCGCATGAATCTGAGGGCGAAAAATAAAAATAAAAATAAAACATGTAAATTAATGTAATGGCAGCGTAACCGGTACCCTATATATCTTTCAATAGGTTTCAAGTGCAGAATAATTGCAGGTGATGGCTTCGGAGGGGGGGTCCCTACGCCCCCACCTTCAGGGGGGGAAACAAACAATAGCGATCGATTACCGATATGATATGATAGGAGGAAGTCATCGGGTGCTCTAGACCTTTTTTTTTTTTTTTTTCCTTCGCCATTTGTGATTACGGAGCATCACTCAAGTCTCCGGATTTGTAGAGAACTCCTTTCCGGTTCACGGTGATACAGTATACATACATCCCGTCAGAAACTTCCCCCCCCCCCCCCCCCGCCTATCTCCAGAACTTGCTGGCGCTATCACGCCGACGGGCCGGTGGTCAGAGTGCATTACGGTTCGGTTATCATGGGGGAGCACCAACAGCCCGGCACTGGCATCATACGCTCCATATTTCACTACCGCCAACCTGTCAATCAACCAATCAACCACCCTACTACTACTAGCATCGTAAAACCTCACCCGCTGTAAAGGATCTTCTGGAGGTCTCTGTTTTTTTGTTTTTGTTTTTGAGGAAGGATTCCGAAAACTCTAATAGATACAAATTTACCCATCTACACTCCAACGCTATGGGAAGGGTGGGGGGGACAAAGAAATATATAGCAAATGAAATGGGATACAAATACTTGGAGAGAGAGAGAGAGAGAGAGAGATGGAGATAATGGGAAAATGAAGACTTTCAGTACATAAAATGGGCTATCCCTTACTTCCTCTTTCCAATTGAAAAGTGGGTTCTTTCTCTCTGATGATGCATGTATATTCTTCACTGAGGGGGACTGCTCCAGGGGAGGTGGGGGGTTGTGATGTGGATGGTAACTCCTTTGAAAAAACTTGTTCGTTTTTGAGGGGGCAGGGGTTATGGGAAATTAGGCTCGGAATTGCCTGGAACGGCGAACTCGTTTTCTGGAATGGCAGGTTTGTCAGTTAAATGTTTGTTCGTATTGGATATCAAGAAGAAAAATTGGAACTCACCCATGATCACCCGGGTTATGCGCAATTGCCACGTCATCAGCCCGGACGAAACCTCGCTCGAAAATTTCGCCGTATCGTATATCCGTCAGTACCACGCTTTCGATGAAATACTAGGCATTTCCAACAAACCCTCTCCCCCTTCCAAGGTGAGCCGCATCCGAGTTGGTAATGTCTGCCTAATTGGGCAGAGCCGAAGGGACACCATTGGCAATAGCCCTCACGTAAAAGTAATGGGTGTATCTCTTCCGGAGAGCCTTGTGCCCGCCTCTTCTCGTGCTGGCCTGAGACGTGCAAAGATGAACCCCCAGTAGGAACAAGTGTGACCCCGGTGTCGGCAACCCCTCGTCCTACGTTTTCGTAGAGTAAGGCTGGTGGCTTCCTATGTTCCGGCTGTTGACCATGTGTGGTGAGGGTTGTCGGTGTGGGCGTGGCGGGGTATGATGTGACGAAACTGGTAGCGGTGGACAGGACGCCCCAGGCACCTGGGCCACCATTCCCGACGTATTCGTACAACAGGCCGAGTTAGCCTGCGTCACCAGGAGGGGGTGTTGTGGTTGCAGTGTGGATAGTGGTAGTACCGGTAGTACTGGTGAAAGGGTTTGCAACCGGGTTTTCAGCGCCGACATATTCATACTCGAGCACTGGAGGTGGTTGTGTGGGCTGCGGTCGATAAATTTTGGTAATGACGGTCGAGAGGTAAATGCCGGGCCGTTGGTTTTCGGCCTCGGCGTATTCATATTTCAATGTCGGTCCATTGCCGGTTGGCTGGGCCGGGGTGTAGACTGCAGTGGTGGACACGGCCTCTGTGGGGGAGATCAGGGCAGGGATGCCCGCGCCAGGGTAGTTGTCTCCCGCGCCATACTCGTACCTGAGCACGGGTTCCTGAGAGGGCCCTGGGGTTGCGCTGGCGGTGGTATGAGAGTCATCCGCAATGACAGGAAGGGCAACAAGATCCTTGCCATCCCCGGAGCTCTCGTAGAGGAGCGCAGGATTAGGGGTTTGGGTTGCGGTATTTGGAGGCAGGGTTCTTGAAGATGGGGCGTAATCGTAATCGTGAGAGGAGGTGGTGGCCGGCCTGATATCAGCCTGGCCGATAGCTGCAGGCTTCTCTGGGAAGGTCTGTTCCATACGGGTTGAAAGGATCAATGTGTGGGGGGCTAAGTGCGAAGCCTTGACGCCGGACCTTACACATCGTGCCTTAGAGGCCCAGAGACAAGCCCCAGCGGCGAGCCTTAGGTGTGTGCAATGGGTCGTGGGAGAGAGGAGCGACCTTGATCACTGCGGTATCGGGGTCTTTAGTATCAATGATCTCATGAGCCAATGCGGGGCCTGGCCCAACAGGCGCGGGTGAGCTCGTCGAGCTAACCGCAGAACTGGCAGTGTTGCGAGAATTCTCGTTCGCCGTGACCACGGGCCCAGTATTTGGGGGGGGTATATGTTCGGGAAGAAAGAGGGAGAATCTACCATTCCACCCACGCTCTAGTACAAAAGCTGGGGAGGCACCCAAACTGGGGGATTGTAAAACTGTGGTCTCCTGACCAGCTGCGGGATAGGTTGCCCGTTGTTTGTCACTGGGGATGGTGCGGGGACTGATGTCGTGGCAGAGCCTGCAGTAGGTGATCTGGAGACACCAACTGTTTCCGCCTTATCGGCAACATAATCGCCAGCCAATTCGTACAGCAATTCTGGACTACCATCCTCCTCCTCCCGTTGCTTGGGCTCCGTGGCCTTGGTTTTCTGCGGCTTGGTGGATGTAGAAATCCGGGAAGAAGTCCTCTCGGGGCTCAACCCATTAACTCGGTGACGTCTGGCAAGAGCATGGGGCTGATCACCAGCAGCACCAAGAGGTTGGCTCAAGGTCATATCAACAGACCCTGGGAGAGGCGGGTTCTGGACCGAAGGGTCTGCCAGTGGTGTAACCTGACTTGGTGGAGTGCTAACAGCCTGGCCAAGGGAGGCATTTAGAGGATCAACGACAGACTGTTGACCAGCGTTACCTACCGGTAGCTGAAGCCCTTGGCCCATAGGGGGGCCATCTAGAGGGGCGGCCATTGGCGTGATCCCACTAGGAACACCCACGACGGTACTAGGGCACCCCCCAGAACAACGGGAGTACTATAATAGCACCACCAAGGCCGGTGCTAGCTAGCGAACCGGGGGCTGCCGGGCCGAGACTTGGAGGAACGGGCGCCGCCCCAGTTGGCACGCCAATCGCAAGTATAGAACTCGCTCCTCCAGTGGGAACAGCTCCAGAAGGTGGGAGTGCTCCAGGCAGAGCTGTAGATTCGGTAGTCTTGGGCCTGGGCCTGCTGCTGCTGCCTGTTTTGGGCTAAGGCTGGCTGCTGTGGTTTTGGGGAGGTGCGCTCTGGCCTTCTACATGCGCACCTCCAGGCTTTTCCGCCTTTTCCACCTTTTCCTTTTTCTCACCAGGCTTCACCTCAGTTGGTGATGGTGACCCAGGCCCGCTAGCAGTTCCCTGAGCTCCAATCTTTGAGTTTCCCCGCTGTCCCTGGTTGGCGGGTGGTTGTACGGGCGGTGTTGGCGTAACACTACTGCCTGCAGCTCCGGTAGACGGCATAGGCTGGGAGTTATTACCTGGTCCTGGAGGTGGCTGTCCCACTACCCCATTCCCCACAGGTGGGTTCTGTCCCCCAGCGCTGGTTGTCCTAGGCGCTCCCGGCTATGTTGTCACCCCCGGCGGTGGAATAGGCGGGGTAGTTGCAGTTGGCTGAAGAGCAGGAGGAGCACCTTGTCCGGGTAGGGTCTGTGATGCAACCAGTTCGGCTCTCTTCCCTAGGTTCGTCTTATAATGTCCACCCATAACCAGATGAGTACCTGCATAAACCG